GCCATGTGGCTTTGGGGAAGGTCCGACACCCCCAACATGTCGCTGTGGCGTCCCTAAAGAAGTTGATACATGTACGTGTAGTTTTAATGCCAATCGACTGCTTTTTGTATTACATTAACGATATCATATATGTCGGACAAAAATCACGTGGCTTCGGGGGGGTCCGACGCTCTCAACATGTACGTGTGTTTTCAATACCAATCGACAGTTTTTTACATTACATCAACGATATCACATTTGTCGGACAAGAAATTTGAGACAATCAATGAAAAAATTAAAACTAGTTTGTCTTAACGCAACGTGCATATTAGTCAGTTTATTATTTACCTACTTTGTCAAATACCTGTGGGGCCCTATGTCATATACCCTGATCTGTTTTTTTGATAGTTTTCAAGTATTTACGGAAATTATTTAGTGAACGGTCATTCAAAACCACGCGTGTGAAAAAGAATGGATATTCAGTCGTGTTTTTTGTGCAATCTCAGAAGTGAAAATCCTGAATTTCGGCAGAAATTGATCAAAAGGACTCTTGTTGTCCGACTGACTTTAATACTCATTTTATTTGTCCGACATTTACTACACATGTTTTAAAATTACATTGTTATTCATAATTATTTTTGTCGGACATACATGTATCAACTTCCTTAGGGACGCCACAGCGACATGTTGGAGGCGTCGGACCCCCCCAAAGCCACGTGATTTTTGTCCGACCTATGTGATATCAATAATGTAACATAGAAAACAAGTCGATTGGCATCAAAACCACTCGTACATGTATCAACTTCCTCAGGGACACCACAGCGACATGTTGAGGGCGTCGGACCTTCCCCAAAGCCACATGGTTTTTGTCCGACAAATGTGATATCGTTAATGTAATATAAAAAACAGTCGATTGGCATTGAAACTACACGTGCATGTATCAACTTCCTCAGGGACGTCAGAACGACAACTTCAAGAAAAGCTAGCGCGGCAATGTCCCATCGCCCAGGGTGGAGATATGAAAAATATTGTCCGACTTGGCGTTATGAAGCCTCTCAGGAAGTTTGGCATGTACATGAGTTACAAAATTTTAGGGTCGATGTACTGGGGACTATTTTCTTTCTAATTAATGTTAATACATATTTGTCATATTTACGTTTAAAAATAAACAAAAACAGAAACATAACCGAAATTGCACAATTTGACAAGTGGAACCAATCAAAGTCATTCCACACAGGTATCGCGCGTCATTATATGTGTCTCTTTCTTTATTGCAAATATCTAAATAAACTATCCTTCTTGTTCATTGCATGAGAAAGGTCCATGGTGTATATGCTTGTAGATGTAAATACAATGGTTCTACAACTTCAGCTGGCAATTGATCTGTATGTGCCAGTCTTTAGGGCAAAGAATTCAAACTTTCCTAGCTGAATGCCTAGAGACCTAAAAAATTTAATAGTTTTAAAAAAGATTTTACACAAAAAGTACAGAAATGGTGGGTCTTCTGATGACTACAACGTCTTTGCTAGTGCTCGAAAAGAATGTAAAGAGTTATATATCAAGTCTAGATCTGAACACATAAAAAAAGTTAAGTCCTCAATCAGTGTCGGACTGGGGGTCATTTGGCCCACCGGGCAAATGGTGAAGTGGCCCACCCAACCCAAACCCCATTCAATAAAAACAATTTTGATAATCATTTGTTGAATCTGGTACCTAGTTATATTATAAGCTCTGTTCCAACACTGCGTAGAGCCAAAAATTTTTGCGTAGAACCCAGAACCCCAAATTCGTATACAGAGTTGTTTCGAAACCGTTCATGGGACGGTTTTTGACGTGTTGGAACAAACCTATGAGCAGAAAAAAATAGGTTAAGTTCGTTTCATGAGGGTTCATACTTTTGACACTGAACACGTTATAACTTGAATAAAAAAAGGGTTGTCGTAGATTAATGGCATGTAATATTGACAGTTGAGTTGAAGAGGGCGCTTCTGTACTTGGAGCTCTTCAAATTTTGGCGCGTGAATAATCGAATGTAGTTTCAACCTCAAAGTCAAGTTTGATGTGTGGTTTCAAGACAAGCTGACGCTGATACTTTTGAAAATATTCTTTAAGGGCCACTGAACGTTTTGGAAGATATTTTAACTTATTCGGTGTTCATTGTTCATGTAGTCATCTTTCCATCTACTTATTAAAACGGTTTAAAACTATTGACATTTACCGCCAAAATTCAAAGCACTCCAAGTTCACTCGCGCCTCTACAAAATTTTGTGAAACCTAACTGGATATTTGCTGCCATTCATATCACATTCAATTTTTTTGACAAATGAAAATAGTTTAAGAACCGACGAACGTTTTTTACGTCATTGATTTGTTTCAATCAATTTCTATTTGTTAAAAAGGATGGTAAAAAGTATGAACCTTCGTGAAACCACCTGCCTATATTTTGTTGTTATTTAGGATGCATTATGATGTAGTTTGTAGTTGTATATTAATTACCATAAAAATTAAAGTAGGTGACATAAAAAAAAAACAACAGAATATATAATATTATCTCAGAATTGGGGCTAGAGACTAAATGTACTTCGGATTGTTCTACAGAATATTCTTTTCTCCACGAAGTCGAAGATGGTCCGGGCAAGCCGGACATTGAGTCTTCCTGAATCCCTTTATGATTTTTTGGTATTGAAGGCAGGGAAGATTGCTGAGCTACTGCTTGATGCTGTTTTTAACAGTGGGTCATTTCTTGCAATCGGGGATAGTTATTCTGTTTCTAGAATCTCTGTAGAAGTAGAACATGCAGAAGCATCCTTGTAACTTACCTCGGTTGACGGATTTGTATTTGTTTTAGTATTCAAAAAAAAAATGAAGTCAGTTGTTGACTGGATGCTGCAGCTTCTAATAATTGTCGTTTTATCGCTATCGCTCTTTTTTCTGTACCTACCCGTTTTATGTAACTTCCTTTTTTTTACCTTTCCGTTCTCAGACATGTAGGGTGTATAAAAATAAAAAAATAGTAATGGCGAGGGAGGCGTAGGTTGAGATTTCTAATGATATTATTGTCCAAAACCAATGTGAGTATTTGGCTTTTTTTATAAATTCACTACCCTGTCTCCCTATTTCTAAAAACCAACAACGGGTACCTACGTCAGTTGTATTCAAATTCACTGATATGCAGCGGGCGATTTCTATGCGACTTTGGCTGCTTGAACTTTTTCAGAGCAGAAAGGGTGTTGATATTGATATGATAGTTAATTTTTTATAAAGACAGTGGATTATGCGAAATAACTTATGATTTGATGATCAATGGCGTGTGGAGACGGATATTTTAATTTATATTTATAACTATTCGAATGGCCCACCTGTCGAAGACGTCACCTGGCCCACCGGGATTTTGCCCGGTTGCCCGGTGGGCCAGTCCGACACTGTCCTCAATTGAGAGTAACCCAAATGAACCAAAAAACTCAGGATATCTAGAATTTGTTTGCCAACTTTTTTGGGCATGTTTATATCTCAGATGAAAGTGAGAATTTGACTTTTCAACCATCGGATGTCAAGTCTGACCTGAGCTTGGGTTACTTGGAAATTTATCTAATGGACGTGTTTTGTACCATCGAGAAACTGAGGTCGTCACTGGGTGAGGACCCGGATGGCATCCCACGTGATCTTATTTTCAACTGCAGATTTGTCCTTGCACCACCAGGGAGAGTCATTTAAAAAAATAAAACTTTGTGTCACCACTACTTATTAGGCCACCCTGTATACTGGAAAATAATTTAGGAATGTAGTACTCATGTTTATCTACAAGTTTTGTATTTAGTTTTTTCTTTGATCTCCGTTAGTATAGGAGTTATCGAGGGAGATATGGACCAACACGCGCTTAGTAACTCACCCTGTATATTTTATGTAGATACATAAGATTAATTTGTACATGGCAAATCCGTTGAAATAAATAAATAGAAAAAAAAAGTGCTTTGATCAGTTTCAGAACAAAATTATGGCAACTCAAATATCGAAAATAAAGGATTAGAAGTGAAACTGGCAGAGTAAAGAAGAATCTTCCCCTGCATGGAATAAGATCATAATAATAACATAATTTTTAATAAAAATAAATAGTTAGCCACGCATTTACAATTACATGTTACAAAAATAAGAAAAAAATAGGAACCTACATAATGTAAGTTAAAGATGGGAAAAGATTTTATATATCAGTATAAAACCCTGTATAAAATAGTCTCAATAAAATTCAGACATTGAATAACAGGCGTTTCCGAGTAGAAGTCCTTCTCTAACGTAAATCGAATGTATTAAATGAATCACCAACATAGGAATGATGCCTAGTAGCATATTTCCTTGAATATTTGCTAACATAATAACGAATACACAAAAAACTCTTGTAAAAATATTGTTAAGTTATCTTTCAAAAATAATAGTAAGAAACAGTCAAGTAAATTTTATTATACAGTGTAAAAATCTTTAATAAAACTGTTTTCTAATACCTACTGCTGTTAAGGTATCTAAGACCTAAAATACCAAAATGTTTATAAAATCGTTTTGTAATGTGTACAAAAGGTTATTTCCTCGGATATTTGGTATTTCACAATACATATATTAACTGAAACTGGGGTATTTAATAGAATGGTGCGTGCAGTCAATCTAACTCAAAAGAGAAATAACTTTCCTACACTTCCTAAAAAGTCGTGGCAATCACAGTTACATAATAGAAAGTATTAGCTTGCGCACTAGATAAGATAATTTATTGGTAATAACATATCATATGTATAATAAATTAGCTCACTTAATTACAGTTAATTATTGAATTTTGCACATTATTTGATATAGTAGATAAAATCAAAAATTCCATATGGAAAATTCATTGGGAAAATCTTAAGATTAGATTCGCCACACTGCCAAGAAGATGCACTTTGTAAATCAATCCACCTAGACATGTGGGCGAATCCGCACCATGTTAAAGGAATATTATATTCACCAAAATTTCAAATGATTTTAGAAATATCACTTACCTGTTAAGTGATTCCCGGTGAACTCGAAGTCGTCATCCTGGTCCCAATGTTTCAGTGACAAAGTCGAAAGCGGCGTGGCATTGGCAAATTCCAGATTTGCGAAATGCCAATCCAAAATCTGACGGTCTCTTGATGATAGATACACATCACTATTATACAGACAAAAATAGAATTTAAAAAAAATAGGTATTAAAATGTTTTACCTTGGAGGAGAAGCCTCCAGTTCTGCCAACTTGGCTTCAACCTCTTTTTCTTCCACTTTCAATTGATCCCATTCCTTAGCTAGAACATTCAAATCCCTAAAATTAAAAAAGTTAGTGAAAATTTCCACAAAATATATATATATATAATATACCTGATACCACTCCTATAAGTAAATTCCTGTTTCAGATCTCTTTTAGGCTCAATATTGCTGACTTCTTTGACTTGTACATTAATCTGCTTCATCTTTTCTTCTACATCAATCAGTTTGTGTTCCACAGTTTTTAATTGTTTCTAAAAAATTTTACTATAAAAAAAACCAACTGGGTTTTTTGTAAATTCTCTACCTGCAAGTCAATGACAGATTTATAATGCTGTATTTGTTTTTCTTTCACATGCTTTTCTTGCAACTTTATCACCCATTCCAAGGCTTGCCCCAAGCTAACTGGTTTGTTGCCAGCATAATTGAAATCCAGTTGATGAGACAAATAAGATGTCGCTTCCAAAAGCCTATTAAATTCTCTTTCGACCATTTCATCTTTATCTTTATCCACTGTAACACCAGAGGATTGATAAAGAGGACATTTTTGTCTGATTCTATGCAACTCCATATCAATTTGCTTGCTTAGAGTGGTTACAGGATTACCACCTAAGCCTGTGACAACCATGGCACCCAAATCTGCAATATAGCTGCCTTTTCGAAATGTAGCAATCCTACCACCGACTCTGTCTCTAGCTTCGAGAACAATAACTTCAAGTCCGAATTGTTGAAGTTGTTGTGCAGCAGCTAGACCCGCTATACCTGCCCCAATAACGATGACTTTGCCATATTTTTTGCTGGGAATAGGCTGTAGCCTGAAATTTGATGTTGCAAATAAAGAATAAAACTGCTGATGATTTTACCTTTTGAATATGCCAAAATTAATGAAGCCGTTTCTTTCCATGAAAGCGTGGATTCTTTTTAGTAGGGGAATGTCACTGTTGTAGGGTGGCTCCATGTTTTCTATAGCATGATCCAGAATGAGTTGCAGCTTAGGGTTGTCCAGCCACATTTTCAAAATGCGGTTTCTTATGTTCAAATACACTTTTACTGTTTGTAATGCAGCATTAGCAATATCTAAAGTAAAATTTTAGGGTTTGATTTTTATTTTTTTGAAATTATGTACCTATCATTTATTTTAGAATAAAATATAGCATAAACTAACTAAGAATGGGTTGTTTAACAAAATCCAAATTGGTATGTTATGGACTTACCTGGAAAACAGGCAGCTTCAAGAGAAGTCAACTTATCAAAAGGCATTCTACTTTGGAATGCTGCCCCTTCAAGTCCAGAAAACAGATCTTTTATAATGGGATCTTCTAGTTCGGAATCATTGTCTTGTTTGTCATCTTCCTTTTCTTTTTTTATGTCTTCTTTCTTGTCTTTTTTCATCGCCCCTGTCCGACTGCTACTAGCAGATGATTTCTTCTCGTTGGGAGAAGTTTTGGATTTTTCCTCGGGGATTTCTTGATCAGTAACAGAAGTTGGTTTCTCTTCTTTATCATCTTTTAAATCAACCTAAACATGTTGGACTTTCAAGATAGTTATATTGGGCTTTGGGTAAAAACCACTTTTTATTTAAAAAAATGTGGAAACTTTGAACTGTGAAAATTCAAAAAGAGAAAAAGGAATCGATTGTAAAATTACAAAGAAAGTTGGTCAAAAATTGAATGTTTTGCCTTACCCTTATTTTCTTTCTGCGGCTCATTTTTCATGCGAAACTAGGCGCACGTGAAAACCGAAAAGTTTTATCTCTTTAATTGAAAAATCTAGAAAAGCCGGAAAACTATTTAAAATTGTTCGTTTGTTGTTATGATGGTGAATACAACAGCAGTAAGGCAAGGTGCAATGTAAGTTGCCTATACGTTGGGCCCTTTGTTCTGTGCACTTAATAGCGTTTTCAATTGATCAAGACGGTGCATTATTTTCAATGTTCTAATGGTAGTGCTCCCGATTTTCAAGTTGGTTTGACCGATTGGGTTATTCATCTTAGGGCGGGTATTATAAAACTTCTTTGAGAGTTAACTTAAAGTTAACTTCTGGAATTACATGTAATTCAAAAAGTTAACTTCAAGTTAACTGTCAAAGCAGTTTTATAATACCCGCCCTTAGGCGATTTTCAGCCTGGAATGATTATTTATCGGTAAATACCGTGGTTATTCTTTTGGCTGAAAACTTTGACAGCCAAGTGTGACGTCATAGCCCCCACCATTCAAGAATCATAACCGAAAGAACCGACCGCTGAAATGATTTGGTTATAGTAACAGCAGGAGCAGGGATCCGGACCGGAACGATATTGGACCGAAAACCGGAACGAAACCGTTTTTTTTTTTGTGGACCGGAACCGGAACGAAACCCATATTTCATAGAAATGTTGTAGGGCAGGCAGAACCGGAACCGATATATATTAATCGGTTCTTACCGGTATTTTTCGGTTCCAATATTTTATAAATTAAGCTGTTTGATGTTTGGTTGTATCATAATAAAATTAACACTTTGAAAAACAGAGCGTTGGACATTGGACAGCGCGCATTTCTGAACTCGGCTAGGCTACACACCAAGGATTTTACATACTACTACAGGATTGCTCATCGGCTTCGATTTTTGGAATCAAGTTCATATGTTGTTGAACCGTTGCCGACGTCATCAACGGTCTCGTTAGCGGTTGGTTTGCGTTCGTCGTTAAGAATATATTTGTATGATGAAAAATATAAATAATTTAAATTTGATCAACATAATAGTCAATAGACAAGAGGAAGATTGAGGATATAGAGATGAGGAATGAGGAATGAGATCTAAACAAGGGTTGTTTTAGAATATTAATAATGTACTATGGTTCTAAACCGTTTCGAAATACAATCCAATCCACGTTTTAAAACCATTTCCTCGTGCCGAGAAATTATGACGTCATTGTGAAACTGATTTAAGATTTAAACCAGTTTTGGAAAATGTTTCAAAACTTTGAGACGCGAGAATACACCTCTCTTAGAACCGAAACCGTAACGGAACCGATATTCGTCATGACGCTGTGGACCGGAACCGGACCGGAACCGGAACGGAACAGATATTTCATTTCGGTCCGCGTCCCTGAGTAGCAGTGTAGGGTTATGTTTATTTTCTTATTTGTTTTTCCGTTTCAACAATGTTTTTTTGTTTAGGTATAAAAAATGGAGCGGAATCTCTCGTTAGTCTCGTTTATCGAACAGATTTTCTTTGGGGATGATCTAAACCTCGATCTAAACATGGTGAATTGCAGTGAGTGAGTGAATGTATACTTCTTTCATTGTGCCAGGCTACAACACATCTGCAAAATCACAAAACACCAATATAAATTTTAAAAATAAAAACAATAACATCAAAAAGCTGTAACCAAAAGATTAACCCAGGTCCAAAGCTGGGTTATAATCGGCTTATAAGTGGTAAATACCAAAAGCAAATCAGCTGATATGTGACGTCACAATTTCCCCTACTTTGGTTAAAACCGCGACCTTCGACGGCGGAAATGCATTAACCCTTTTCACGTGGCTCCGGTTTAACAAACCGCAACATACCGCTCAAATTCGAGTGGTAGGTATCCATCAAGAATCGTAAACTCTACAGGATTGCTCAATCGGCTAAATTTGTTCACAATTGCTGTGACGTCACGCGCATGCCGGATTTTCAAGATGGCCGCTGATACGAATGATGTTTAGTTTGTGCTGACAACTATTTTATCGTAAATTCGGATTTATCTAGTGTTATAAGTGTAAATTTAAAGTTTCATTTAATGTGTGTAAGCATAAAAGACTCGTGGCTGAAAATACTCGCGAAAACCCCAAGCATTTTCTGGTTTTATAATACTGGATTTGTTGTATCAGGACATCGCTCTTTTAGTTGTGTGTATTGCTAGTTAGTATTTCCTACAGTGGCTAAATAAACCTTTACATACAGTGGCGACAATAGAGGTCCCGCCGCCATCTTGTTCCCAACCTCTTGTTACTTTTAAATATTAATATATAGGATTTAAATGGACATCTATCATAAAAAATTGATATCGACGTATTTGATGACCATTATTAGGTCCATCAAATACGTTTTTTTCCATGATTTATGATGGATGTTCACCTAAATCCCATATATTCCTATTCAAAAGTAACAAGAGGTTGGGAACAAGATGGCGGTGTTTTCAATATAAATATATGGGATTTTAGAACCAATCAAAAATAAGACAGCAATTGTCGCCACTGTGGTAATAGAGTCACTGTAGTATTTCCTAGTCAAGCATTTGTTTTGCTTTTTTTTTTATAAATCAAATATCTACTTAGTTGTAAGTTTCCTTTGCATGTAATTACTAATAAAAATTAGGGTTTGTGAAGGGTGAATAAATAAATATGTAAATAAATTCCTTTACTGGCGCGTTTACTATGAAAACGCATGGAAAATATGGGAAACTTGCAATGTTTTTCTGGAATATGATTATGAGAATCTAAATTAGGTACCACTATTTAGCTTTGTGAAATAAGCTCACTTTGAATGTCCATATTAAATCGTTCTAGTACCTATTAAATTAATGAATAATAATTGAGAAGTACCTAGGTAGGGTCAGTAAAAAATAAAGCACACTATTGCAACCCCGTTTCGCTTATATTTTGATATTGAAATGCAAAAATTAAACCGGCTCGGCACCCCACATTTGGTTTTCTACTGTTTCTCAACTGTAGTCAATTGTGCCCGTTTTGTGCTCAATTGTGCCAGTATTTATGCGAATTGTGCTCATTTTCATACACAAAAAAAACATTGAAACGAATCCGGGGGCCAGCTTGACTCCAGCCCTTCGTTTTTTTGACTTTTTGGCAATATATGTTTGGCTAATTGATAAACAAAAGCAAACAAACTCGTCTTTCTAATTAGCAATTAGCCAACCACTCAAGCCTCAAGGACACAAGCTTTTGAAGTCTGCTAATTTTAAAATCAATAAATTAATTACAAAATACAGTTTTCAAAGGAAATAACCTCAAAATAACAATTTTTCACGTTTAAAAATGCAAGGATAGTGTACTGTCATAAAAAACACAAACCGATCAAGGACTGCGTGACGTCATTCGCATACCGCCATCTTCGATGTTTTTATGAACGTTTGTCTTATGGGATTGAGCAATCCTGTGGAGTTTACGATTCTTGGGTATCCATCACGTCACTTTGTAACCGGGTTAGAAAACGGTATGTCATTTCTCTAACCGTTTTGTAACCCGGTTAGTTAAACCGGAGCTACGTGAAAAGAACTATAGGTTATAACCAAATAATAATCATTCCAGGCTGAAAATCGCCTCTTGCGTTCGGTATTTTGGTCAAAGAGCAGAGCGGAGCCGTATTCACGTGACCAGCAAGCGCACAGAGCATTTAAACGCTCCGTGCGTTCGGTAATTTGATCTGAGTTCTCCGAGCTTGAATTTACCGTTCTTTTATTTGGAAAGTGTACTCGGTGCAGGCTCATTCGCGTTCGTTTATTAAAAGACGTACAGGGTGACTCAGAGTAAATTTACCTTTTCGAACGCGTCCTGTACATCCAACTTAATATTTGTGGAGGGGTTAGCGCTGGCAATTTACGGCGACTGCATGCGGATTATCAGTAAACATGGAGCAGTGGTCGAACAAGCAAGGCGCGTTTAGTGTCGAGGCGTTTTTTAAATCAAACGATTCCTATATGTCGTGGCACGTGGACGTTTTTGTAACCGTTACAATATTCGGCGTACACGTAATACTCCGTCAAACAATTTATTGAAATTATGGGTTCAAAGATTCAGAAAAAGTGGTCCAATGGCAAATCCGAAGCGTCCCGGCAGAACAGAAGTCCATCAGAACGCCAGAGAACATTGGGATTGTGCGACGTATTAGGCAATCTACTGACCTGTCAAAAACGAAATTCAATATGGAAGTTCAGGGTCAAACAAACCAAATCAAGCACGGTGTTGTTTATTCTGTATGTCATTGATTCTGTCACATTCTGGTAAACGTCCAGATTTGAATCATCGGATTTTGTGTTTTTTTGTGTGTTTAGGTATTGTGTTAATTAAAATGCCAGCGATTTGCATCGTAATTGGGTGTGGAAGTCGAGGTAACAGGAATAATGTGAAATTTTATTAAGTTCCTGCTATTTTAAGTCAATGGCTTTTGATCTACAAATATAAATTATCAAAACAACGCAGGGCTTAAAGGATTGCTGCAAGTAAAAGCTCGATTTTCCCCTAATGATAATACCTACAAGGGCCAGAACACTAAAAAATACGTAGAAATACTAAATACTATAAAATTCACTATGACCACAACAATGAGAAATACGTAGAAACACATAAAATTCACTTCGAAAGCAGCAAGGGCCAGAATACAAATGCTCTTCTTATGAATGTCAAACGTCACCGGCTTGTCACCGTTTGACCCGAACGGCCATTATAAAATAACGTTTGTGAATAACGTGATTAAGATTGCCTAATATAAGTTGTATTCCTTTCAAGAGCTTGAAACACTCGAGCTACTCGCTCCTGTGTTCAGGCGCCCCCGATTTGCAGGGAACAGATGTAACGTTTTCAATTTCTTGGCTAATAATATGATTCCATATAGAACTACAATGAAATAAATGAATAAACAACTATCTTTTTTGTGCCCAGATTTTGTTACCTTGAGTGCTGCCTTCTACTAGAAGTTTTTTTGGTTCAGGTTTGCAAGTTTTGTTAATTGATCTAGGAAGGTTTGATTCAGTACGGCAGGGCCCGCTGTTATTGATTAGAATCTTAGGAAAAGGAGTTAGTACCATCATCATATCTGTTTGCAAATCCAATCAATAATCTGAGGTTATGATAATAATTGTTGTTTACTCTTTGACTTTTCATTTCCATCATGTCATTGAACAGCTGTTTTGTCTAGGCGTTTTCTTTAGACCTGTTCTACCTTTTGATATATGTTCGTACTTTTGGGGTGAAACTGAACACCTCCTTTTCTATAATT